GGATCATCTCCTTTCATGTGCCAAAGATGACCTGAGCTGATACATGTTTTTGGCATTTTGCCTTTTTATTTCTGAACTAGGAAATAGTTTATTTTCACTTCTTCACTATGCATATTTTCATCCATGAAATCTGTTTTATATATGATTAATTTAAGGTGTCAGTTATGTAGTTGACAGCCTAGAAGAGTAAGTGATGGACCCTATAAGACTTTATGGTGGGAAATGCACTTTTGCCTTCTCTCATTTGTCCTCTGTACAATTCTGGGTGCTGGAGATAGTTGACACTATCATCTACACTGGCAGATGGGTGGCTTCTGTATGTGAGGCAATACAGCCACTTTCCCAATCCCTTCTCTAGCCCTAGTATGCTCTCGAGAAGCCCTTTCTTTCCTTCCTGGCCCTAGAGACTCAGGCTCATTCCTTGCCTTGAAAGTTGGCCCTCCCCTTGCCTGCACTCATCCTGTAGCACCAATAGCAGAGTAGCATGGAGGCTTTCAACTCTACTCTTTTCTTCCTGTACATGAAATAAGTAATTTTTGATTTAATATTTTGTAGCTCTTCCTTCCAGAGAGTCAGATGAAGTATCAAAATAACTAGTACACAGCATATATAGGTTCCAGAAGTGCTATTGTGTTTGTGTAGCCTATAGAAATGGGGTTGGGACTGGTTTCCTCAAAGCACTTTCCCTGGGTTTCTTCTTTGATGGAAGTTCCCCCAGGTTCTTGTTACCAGAGCTTTAGCTTACTTCCTTATAGCATTGGCCTCCTTGAATTTGGCTAAAGACATGAAGATGAAAGAGACCACTCTAGTCTGTGGTATCTTAGGACACATAACCTACTGCATACTGTCTTCTGGGTATTATGGGAGCAGATCCAGCAAGTTCACTTTAGAATTCTTTCATGACTCAGTCTACATGTCTTCCTCTGCCCTATCCTTTGATTAACTCACATCTTATAAGCAATTAGCATAGGAGGTTGATATCCAACAAATGTGATCTCTATCTTTTCTCTGGCAAATTTTGCCCTTGGGGATTTTATCTTGTGTGCATATCTGTGACATACAGCATCCTACCATTATTAGTTGGATGGTCTCAATGGATTTTGATATTCTTAATGCTTAGCAGCAAGGATCTCATTGAGAGCTATCAATTTAATTCTCAATGTCCAGCATGGTAGATGAAATGAATGCCAGAACTGCATTATAAATACATGTCAAGAGGGGAAAAGGTAAAAAAAATCCAGTTCAAAGGATTGGACTGTTGTATATACAAAAGGGAATGCAATAACACTGGGTATTTGTGTCTACAGATGAGGATATGTAAGTTGTTAGAAAGCTATCATAGTGTGTAGCCAGGACAACTAGAGGACACCAAGGGATGCAGTCCTGGGTATATTGAGGAAGCCATTGGTTTCTAGCTTTAGCCCCTTAAGATAAAGCTGGGCTTTGTGCCTAGTTTCCCAATTTGGTTTGTGCATTCCTCTTACCTCTCTAATCATTTTTTTCCCTTGGGACTTACATTGTAGAACAAATTGAAGCCCTTTTATATAAGATTATTGAATTATCAAGGAACATATAAAAAGCAAAATTTTCTTTGGAGAGAGAAAAGATATTTAACTCATCTGCTTTTGAAATTCAGAATCAAGAATCAGAAGTATAAATTTTACTAATGCTGTTAAATAAAGGACAGGGGCAGGGAGAAAACAGAAAGAGATGATAATAAGAAAGAAAAACAGAAAATTAAAGGAAAGGCCATGAGAGAGGGCAAGGAGGATAGGGAAGGATAAAGAAATTGAAGAATAGAAAAGTGAGAGAGAGAGAGTGAAGGGGAGTCAGCCCAGAGATGGGTAGAGAGAGCAAGGCCAAAATTAAGAGTGTGGCTTTGGTACCAGAGGTCTGGATTCTAAAGCTATGAAAACTTAGTATACTTGGTGAAATATTGAAAGGATCCTCTGCAATCAGAAATGCAAGTACGATGACATCACTACTTGTATTCATCCACGAGGAGTAAAGTAAGAAAGAAAATTAAAATTCACTCTTCATAGATTACCTTATTTATGCACACAGAAAATCCAAAATAAAATTCCAGAGTGACTTTAGCAAGATCTCTGGATGAGATTAATATAAAAATCAACTTTATTTTATTTTATGTTTTTGGTACTGGGGATTGAACCCAGGCACACTTAAACATTGAGCCACATCACCAAACCTTTTATTATATTTTATTTTGAGACAGCATCTTGCTAAGTTTCTTAGGGCCTCACGAATTTGCTGAGACTGGCTTTGAACTTGTGATCCTCCTGCCTCACCTCCCAAGACATTTGGATTACAGGCAGGTGCCACCATGCCCAAGCTCAATTTTATTTTAATATATCCTATTTCACAAATAAATGAAAATTACAAAATTATGTTTTATAAAAACATAAAAAACCCTAAGTTGCCTTTCTGACTCTAATTTTCTCATGTAAAACTAAGGCTACAACAAAAAATAATAACAATAACAGGAGAAATGGTAGAAACAGCTGGTGTTTATTGAGTATCTACAGTGTGCTAGAATGCATAAACCAAATTGGGAAACTAGGCACAATCCCAGCTTAAGGAGCTGAAGCTAGAAACTAATGGCTTTCTCATTTGTTCTAAATGTTTAAATGGGTTATTTCTTTAACCTTCACAACAACTCTTAAATGATTTTTGTGAGGATAAAATGAGATAATATATGTAAAACACTTAGCAAATTGCCTTGCATATAATATTTGCTATAAATTTTAGCAATACAAAAAAGTAATTATTTAAGGGAAACTCAGATTCAGTTGTTAGTAGAATAAAGCTGCTGTTCATTTGGTTAAGATTTAGAATAAACAGTCATGTAGTGCTATGAAATTTTAGGTGTAGCACATTAATTCATTTTTTCATTCAGGCACTGCTCTTGGCTTTAGAAATACAAAACAGACAAAATTCATGCCCTAATAGAGTTCACTGTTTGGCAATGGGAATCAAATTAATTAAATGCTATCACAAATTGGGATATAAGACTAAAAGTACAAGGACAAGGCATTATGAGAACATAAAAGGTGTGTAGGGTGGCCTGGTCTGGACTTGAGAATGAAAGAAGGCTTTGTTGCAATACTGGCAACTGAGCTGAGTTCTACATGATTGTGGAACAGGGTACAGGGGTGGGAGAATATTCACAAAGGAAGCAGTCTTTCTAGAGTGGGCGAGGGCTGGGGGTGCTTGAATGATACAGGAATTGAAGATAATGTCTGAAGATAACGTCTGGAGCTCAGAGAATGGGGAGTGGGTTGTAGTATGGGCTGTGACTGTAAAGGAGAATGTCAGAACATAGACCCTTGGGAAACTGTTAAGCATTTTTATATTCATTCTAAGAAGAGTAGAATGCACTGCAGGGTTTTATGAAAAGGAATGATGATCATATGCATGTTTTAAAGTATTTCTTTACTGACGAGGCCATGCCTGTTGCCTAGGGAGCTATGAAAGTAGGTGAGGCTAGTGAACCATGAGTAGAGAGAGGAATTAGTAAGTATATCTGAGAGATATTTAAGGCAGAACTGATGGGCCTGCTTTTAGCTTGGGTGAGGGAGGAGGGGTATACCATTGATACCTCCCACCTGGGATCTGACTTGCAGAGCTGGGTGACTAGGAGTGACATTCACTGAGATGAGGACAGTCTTTCTTCACTATGAAGTGGTTTTATTGAATTTATATTGAAACTTGAGAATGTATTCAAAGTGTTTATTTTCCTAAGGAAATTTGAATTTTTCATATATGGGGAAAAGAATGACAGACTTGGAAAGCTGATTTTAGAAGCTTAGAGATGCTTATTCCTTGTTTTCCCTTTAATATTTTAAATAGTTAAATTGCTATTTATTTAGCATTAAAAAAACAGAACTTATAAATTCATGAAGGTTAGATTTAGACTAGTCTCTCTCCTGCATCAAATGTTTATTTAATCAGAAAAGCTAAATAGATTCAAATGCAGCAGTCTATATATTTTTTATTTCTTTTCATCAACCCTTTAGTTCTCTTCTCCTTGGGTCATTCAGTAGTTTTATATAAGAAAAGAACTTTTGGAGCTGGAACATTATTGCTTCATTCAGTGATTTACATTCCCTCAATTTGGGGGAATGTCAGTCAACTTCCTTTGCTTTTCACTGGGCAAAAGATTGGCTACTGAAGGCCTTAGCTTAATGACTCTGGGATTGCTGATGGCAAAAATGTCTAGGATCATCTTAAGTTAGTTGCTCACAAGTTCCCTTTCTTTGACTTGGAATGTCTTTGGCAGGTATATTAGGGCTAGAAAAGACCTTCAGATATCTTAGTTAAAGCTTTTATCAAATGCTGGTGGTACTTGGAGTTGATTTGAAAAAGCATAGAAGAGGCCCTGGAGTTTACCCATGTTCTCCAGGCTGATTGGGACTCCCTCAGCGTTGGCATCCTCTCAAAAAAGAAGTTCTGAGGCAGATCAGAATTTGAGCCGTCTTAACCTCCCATCACTTTTATGCCAGAAACTAAACTTTAGAACACCTTGAAAGGAAAAGAAATCACCAGTGGTATAGTAAGAGGGGAATGTGAAATTAGAGGGCAGTCTTGCTGACTGACTCTTTGCTTAAGCACAGAAGTGAAGGTGGGAGAGGTGGTTAATTGATTGATTGATTGATTGATTGATTGTGTGTGTGTGTGTGTGTGTGTGTATGTGTCTACCTTAGGTCAAATGGTAGGCTTTCTCTTTCTCACTGTCTGTTCCCTACCTCCACCCAATACCAGTGTCCTCAGCCTGTGCCTCCCTCTCTGTGTCATAGCCTAAGAACTTCCTTGGTGTCAAGGATTTGAATAGAAATTCATGTGCTGCCCAAGTTCCCCATCTCTCTTAGGCTTAGAGGCCAGAGAGGAATCTGAGCATGGGAGCTCTTGTGGGCTGGATCTCCCCTCTCCCTCCTGCCATTCTCAGCTAACAGCCTGACTACCCTTTGTCTCTGTTCCTATAGAACTCCACCTCGGTGAGCATCATGGGCTTTTCCAACACTTTGGAGATGGAGTTGTCATCTACCAAGCTGGCAAGGACCCTAGAACCACAGGTTCAGAGTGTGAGAAGCCTGACACCTGGCCCTCCTCAGGCGATACCCAGTCTGCTGAGTGGCCCCCCACAAGCTGTGTCCAGCCTGACGAGTGTTCAAAATCATACCATGCCCAGCCCGACAGCCAGTCATCTACAGGTCATACCAAGCCTTGTGCATGGCACATTCCAGTCCATGCCCAACATGATGAATGAGACCTCCCCAGCCATCATAAGTCTAGCAAGTGACCATTCTCAGGCCAGGCCCAGCCTACTGTCTGCTCACACCCAAGCTGTGCCAAGTCTAGTGACTTGTCCTTTGAAGAGCATGCCCCTGGTTTCTGACATGCAGCTGGAAACTGGATCCACTTCCAGTCCTGATCCTGGCCGAGCCGTAGAGAGCCTATGCCCCAAGGATGGAGTTGACCCCTCCCTGAGAAATGCCCTATGTAAGGTAAGTCATAGGGAAATGTCAATTAACCTCTTCTGCTTGTCACTGAGTAAAAACTTGGCCACTGAAGGTCTTATCCTGGCTTTAGCTTAATAGCTCTGGGACCACTGATGGCAAAAATTCTTTGATTCTTTTTGTCTTTTCTTTTTTGGAAGATGGAAAGTGAGGATTCCTCTCACTTTACTGACTCAGTGGGACAAGGCCCCATGGCCCCTGGGCTGGATGTGCCCAAAGACTTGGCTATTACCTCAGAATTAGAGGAGCCAATTAATCTCTCTGTGAAAAGACCTCCCCTGGCACCGGTGATCAACACATCTAAAGCTCTACAGCAGTACGGGAACCCACAAGGTGAGACTCAAGTAAGAAGCCTGCCTTCATGTTGACCATAGACTTGTGCAGATGGACTAAGCACGTTTAGGTGAAGTACAGGGCAGCAGATAGGCTCTAAGCTTGAGGAGTGCTGCTTCTCTCTGAGGCTAAATGTACCTCTCCAGAAGCGAGTTCCTCTGTTCTGCTTTCCTCACTGTGGTCAGGCTGATCCATGTGGCCAGCTTTCTTGTAACATTCCCCCTGCAAAAAGTCCTGGGGTCTGGGTTGCATGTAGAGGGAGACTGGAAGAACTCACCTCAAGGTGGCTAGTCTGGGAAAAATATTATAGGTAAAAAAGCACATCTGACTTTAGAGTTGGACATACCTAAGTTAGAATACCAGCACTGTGTTTTTTATTTGATTTTGAGTGATATACCTAATATCCCAGAACTGATTTCTTTCTCTGTAAATGGAACTAATCATACTGACTTCATAGGCTACTAGGACAAATAACTGCAGAGAACTAACTTGACAACTTACTCTGTAGTAGCAAGAATTTTCCTTGTATCCAGACATACTGTGAATTTGTGTTGTTCCACATAGAAAAGAGATTTTGGAACATTGGAGATTGGCTCTTCTCAAACTGGGCTAGGCTAAGATTTGTTTCTTCTGTGGAAGGTGATTTGTTTATTTCTGCTGGTAAGAAAGTCTGGAATTGAGTACCATTGATAACTTGGGACTTTCTTAGTTCAAAGTACAATGTATGCTTAATTTGTAATGATCACTCTATTTTGTATAGATTTAATCACAGACAATGAAAGAAATATTTTCCCCTTTTTTTTCACATTGAAAGGCCAACCAAAAAATTATTGGCTCTTATTATACCCAATAATGTAACCCTGCATTTTATGTAGTTGGATTTATTCTTATGGATCCTGCTTGCCCATGTAAAGTGCCTAGGACAGTGCCCAGTGCTCACTGGGTGCTTTCAACAAGTGCTAGTTCCCTCTATTTGCCTCCACTGCTCCCTGTCCATCCATAAAGACTGTGCTATACAGGAGAGGGCTCCCTGAAGCCTCTAGCTCACAGAGTGTGAGCTGGATTCTCAGGCAGTTCTGGAATCCCAGCCCTTGACTGAAAAGGAAGAACAGAATGACTTCTCAGAGCAAGTGTTACCAGAGTACTGGAAACAAGTGATTTGTGAGCTCATTTCAAAGGTGAGAAGCTGGCCCCTCAGTGCCTGACCCAACACTCACCTGTGGGCAGCCTCTGAGCATTATCTGTGCTCATCCTTGAAAGAAGGTGGCCTCCAGGAAGGATATCCATGGTGGGATTGCCACCATTATGAATCATTACAGTGTAGGGGAACAATTATGTGATGTGTGTGGCCAGACATGTGAATAACAGATATGAGTGGAAGGTGCAGGTGACAGAGTATATCATCACAGGTATTTATTTGTCTTTTGCTTTAGAATATCAGAATTTTGAACAAAGACCCTTAGAGCTGGATAAAAAAGAGAATCAGAGCATCAGGTAACAGACTCTTGGTCAACCCCTGCCTCCAACTCCAAACAACTTTATGTCCTGTACAAGAAGTAAGCATCCTTCCTGACTTCACTAGAAGCAGAAACTTTCCTGCTTCTGTCTTCTTTGACCCCCAGGCCCTCAAGTGGGGTGTGTATCGTTGGATGTCTGGGATGATTGTGGGAGGGTGTCCTGGCTCCTGCCCCAGGAGGCATGCACTCTGTGTGTAGTCCTTGCTCTTTGTGGAGCTTCCTTCTTTGACAGGGACTACACAAAGGGCTTCCCAGTGTCTGACAGGGTCTGGCCAGGCAGAGCTGGCAAGATGTGGACCTCAGGGGGTTGGACTGAGGAGATCTTGAGTAGTTACTCAGTTGTGGGATCACAGATGAGCCTGACTTAGAGGTTGGGATCAGAGGAGGCTCTTGCTGATACCCAGGATATCTCTTTTGCCACAGAGCTTTCAACACTGAGCCCAAGATTCCCTATGTGCGACTGGAGCGACTCAAGATCTGTGCTGCTTCCTCGGGAGAGATGCCTGTATTCAAGCTGAAGCCTCAGAAAAATGATCAGGATGGGAGCTTCTTGCTGGTTATTGAATGTGGCACTGAGTCCTCCAGCATGTCCATTAAGGTACCACTTTACTATGTTTTGACCTTAAACCTTGGCCCAGTCCAGGAGTCTCTCCTTTCTCTCTGCTGCAGCTAGAATTCTGGCTCGGGGGCCTCTCCTGAGTCTCTGAGTGAGGGTGTAGCTTGGCTAGACTTTGTCCTCTGCTGTAAGGGGTCTCTGAGGTTCATAGCAGGAGTAAGCTGTCCCAGCACTTGTGGGACTTGGCTAGCTTGCAGTTCTGGAAGAAATGATTCTTATATTAAGTGCTCAGGGCTTGTCAGTCCCTCCCACTGTGTCCCTCCACATCTTGTTAGTACTGTTCTCTGACTACTCAGACTCACTTCTTCCCCAAGGTTAGCCAGGACAGCCTGCCTGATGCCATCCAGGCCCCAGGTCTGGGGGGAAGAAAGGTCACTGTCACTTCCCTGGCTGGGCAGCAGCCACCAGAGGTGGAAAGTACAAATCCTGAAGAACACAGACTCATTTCTCGAATTCCTGGAGCCAAGAAGGGTCCCCCAGTCCCGATAGAGAATGAGGACTTCTGTGCTGTGTGTCTCAATGGTGGAGAGTTGCTGTGCTGTGACCGCTGCCCCAAAGTGTTTCACCTTTCCTGCCATGTGCCAGCCTTGCTCAGCTTCCCAGGGTGAGTCATACCAATCCAGTGCCATCGCCTGGCTACCAGGGTTATCTTCTATTATTATATTATTATTCTAGGTCAGTCCCACAGAACTTCCCAGGGTGGGCCTACTCCCCTCTTCTGGGCCTACATGAAATGCAGGTCTGTGAGTTAGTGGGCCCTATATGTGCCTTCTGCACTCAGACAGGTAGATGTTGGAAATTTGGTTGACTTTCCTTCTGCCTCTGTTCTCAGCTTCTTCCTATGCAAAGACTTGTCTCTGTACTTCTTCCCTGCCTTCTTCCTAAATATTTTTTCTGGATTCACTAAATCCTGAGTTACTGAATTTCTTTCAAGCTCATTGCTAGGAAGCCATTGCCTCAAGTGAAGAGCTACAGACTCAGTTTCCCACACTGTTGCCTCGATGCTTGTCTTGAAGGAGAGGGAGAGGGAAGGGTGCTCTGGGCAATTTGCTGAAGCTTAACATGGCCTCACCTATCTATGCAGGGGAGAGTGGGTGTGTACCTTGTGTTGCAGCTTGACGCAGCCCGAGATGGAATATGACTGTGAGAATGCTCGCTATAGCCAGCTTGGAGTGCGGGTACTTCCTGGCCTGAGCACATGCGACCAGAAGGTAGGGAAAGGTCTCTAGAAACAAGGTTTTCTGCTTGGAAAAGCACTCTGTGCCTAAAAGGGGCTGAGGTCTTTCAGAAGGGTGAGACCTGCTTCTGGGTACCTTTCTTTTGGACTGTGGCTGATGATAACTTGGCCAATGGGAATTTGTGTGGTTTTCATTCTCCTGAAAGCTTTCCTCTGGCTTGGGAGTCTGAACTGTGCCTTAGTATTATGATTGGAAACCTGTGGTACAAAGCCAGAGAGTTGTTAGTTTTCTCATGTTTGATTTGATTTTTGAAATGGGCCAGAACAAAGTGACACTGTTGCCAATTATGATTTCTGCAGAAATGTGAGAAGCTGGTATTGTCCTTGTGCTGCAATAGCCTCAGTCTGCCCTTCCATGAACCTGTCAGCCCCTTGGTAAGGAAAACCTTACTGTTTCTGCTTGCTACTGTCATTTCTGCTCAGAGGGCCTAGGCCATGGGGCAGGATCATGATGGTGTACCCAGGGGGCTCAGGATTCAACCATGGGGCAGGATCATGGTGGTGTACCCAGGAGGCTCAGGATTCAACCATTGGAATAGTGACAGTATTAATTTGTGGATGGTCCCGGGGACCCTGGGGGCCATGGCCAGTCCAGTCTTTACTCTCCAGCTTGCCACAACTGCTGCTGCATCAGACTTGACTTGGCAAGTGATACATTCCTCCTATTTCTTTTTTTTATCTTCTCCATGATTTTATTCCTGCTGTTTCTCATCTTTCTTCTATTCTTTCACTTATATTCCAACTCATTCTCTGCCTCTTCTCTTATCTGTACCTCTTCTCTTCTTTCTTTTCTTCTTTTCCTCTTCTCTCCTTCCCAAGGCGCGACATTATTATCAGATTATCAAGAGGCCCATGGACCTGTCAATCATCCGGAGGAAGCTTCAAAAGAAGGACCCAGCTCATTATACCACCCCAGAGGAGGTGGTATCAGACGTGCGCCTCATGTTCTGGAACTGTGCTAAATTTAATTATGTATGTCTTTTCCATTTTTCATCTTTTCTATTACCCAGTGACCAAAGTTTATAATGGCTGAAGTGAGGGTTGGGGTATGGGGATCAGGTTTGGTTTGGAGCTGCCAGGAAGACCTAAGAGGAGTCCTGAGGTCTACTGTGGTGAGTTTTAAAGCTCTATCCCACACTCAACCCTCAGCATGGACTCAGGAGGAAGATAGAGAGGTGTTAGTAACTGGCCACTTGTGGGTACCTGTTAATGTCGCTTCTACTTTAAGAGTTGTACCAAATTGGTTATCCTGAGTCTTAGGAGAAAATGCTCAGTTCCAGACAACCCAGGATGCGATCCCAGAATAGGCCAGATAGGCTTTATGCTCTCTGTATTGCTCTTGAGGGAGGGGCCTGGAAGAGTTGGGCTGGTAGAAACAGGCCAACCACCACTGCTCTTTTCCCCATCAGCCTGACTCAGAGGTTGCAGAGGCTGGCCGCTGCCTGGAAGTATTCTTTGAGGGATGGTTGAAGGAGATCTACCCAGAGAAACAGTTTGCCCAGCCAAGGCAGCAAGACTCAGACTCCGAGGAGGTGTCTAGTGAGAGTGGATGTTCTACCCCTCAGGGCTTCCCGTGGCCCCCCTGTGTTCAGGAAGGCATCCAACCCAAGAGGCGGCGGAGACATATGGTAAAGCTTTACTGCCAGCTGGCAGGCATGTACGTGGGTGGGTGATTGGGCAGGCAAGGGGTAGCTGAACAACAGGTATAGAGCAAGCTAAAGTGAAGCTGCTTGGGTAGCACAAGAGATAGTGGTGAAAATGAACCCTCACTTCAAACCCCTTATAATATAAGGGAGGCAGGGCAGTGTGGGGCTCATTAACTCCAGTTACTAGTGAGGCTTGATGTTTAGAGAGATGCATGTGCCTACCCAGTGTTACCCAGAAAATTAGCAGCAGAACTGGGGGAGCAATGAGCTATCTTGACTCCAAGCTCAATGCTGGTTATACTACACTGTGATGACAATAAGAAGAGAAGTATCTAGTTTCAGTGCCTGATCTTTACTTTGGGTTTGAGGGAGAAAAGCAGGGATCTTTTTCAGCCTCTTAGTGTGTAGAAGGAAGGAGAGGTTTTGCTTACAGCAGAGAGAACGTCTCTGGTCCCACCTGTGTGGGCCTGAAATTTCAAGTCATTGCTATTAAATTCCTCAGAAATGTAATGTTTACGCAGTGTGCCAGGAGCTGACTAACCATCCCTGGTTATTTATGGTACTTAGCATATTAGGTATAGCGGCTTCAATAAGTTTTGCTGTTGCATTCCTAGGATAGACACTTTGACTCTAGAGAATCTGAGTCTTAACATGTGGCCTTTTCATGTTAGTAAATCCTACATATGGCTATTCTAATTCCAAATATATTTATTTTTTCTCTCAGGAGAATGAAAAAGCAAAGAGAATGTCGTTCCGCCTGGCCAACAGCATCTCACAGGTGTGAGAGCTGGAAGAGACCGAGCACTCTGGTGGCTGGTGTCCTGTCCTTTTGACTATTCCTCCCCATCCTTCAGCTTACTCTTCAGAATGTGGATGTGAGATGAGTCTTGTTGAGCTGTGTAGTGCTCTTCCTTGTCATTTGCATTTACAGCATTTATTTGGGAGCCATAGCACATCCACTACAGAGAAGATTCAGTAATAAAGAGGAAAGAGGGAGAGGTGTTCCTTGTTTCTGGAGTAATCAGATGTATGGGTCACCTTGACAAGACCATGCCTGGTCAGGCTCAGAAGGACCTAAATTCCTTGGTGATTCTCTCCACTGAGGAAAGCAGACCTTCCTCACCTTTCAGTGTCCAGGGCTCAGGAGCAGAGTATATTATCTCCTCCTGGCTCAGAAAGTAGGTAAAAGAAGGGAAGAAGTTTGGACACATGGCAGGTCTATGATCCCTGGCCCAGCATAGCCAAAGATTGTCACTGTTTACCATTGCTTGTCCTGTCAGGACAGAGGCGCCTGTCATAGGCAGAACAAGGAGGCATCTAGAGGCCACAGATCTCAATTGGTGCCTATGTAGGTTCTAACGGTTTTCAGGGTATTTATTTTTCATACCCCTTTTCCTGAAGTTGACTTAGGTGGCTGCTGTGAAGATGCTCTGGATGGTATGGCATTCTTGCCTGAGCTGGGTGGCTGTGCAAAGATATCTTAGATCTGGCTCAGATTTCACTTGCATCAAGATGCCAACTTTGGAGTCTGCCCTTTGTGCTGCTTACTTTGTGCTAATAGCACTTCCTTGGTGTCAGAACCTGACTTCCTAGAAGTGATCATCGTGCTTGTCAGTAGCTACTCCTTTGTCATCTCCATTCAGACATCTGGGTCTTGAGTTCTGCATCAGAAAGCTGTGAGGCAGCTGCTGTTTGCTTCAGATACAGAGTTCCCTGGGCAAGGAGAATGACCACACTCAGCTTACTCTGCCAGGGCTCTCTTCCTGTTCTCTCCTCCTGGCCTCTCCTAGTTCCCCACCTCTCCATATTCACAGAGCCAAAGATCAGAAGTGAGTCTCCTAACTAGCTTGCCTCCAGACTGTCCATAGCCCAGAAAAACACTCCACCATATCCTTTTATGTTGAAAGTTGGAAAAGGCCATGGGACCATCAGGAGATAGACCCAGGAATTCCTGGAGGAAGTTCTGTCAAGGGTGGAGGAGAAGAAATTTGAGAGGTGAGAAGCCAGGGTCCTTTGGTGACCCTAAAACAACTTCAGGACCTTAGTTCTCCTAGAATGCTGAAGGAAGCATTCTGGACACCATGTGAACAGGAGCTCCAGGCTGTGTCTCAAATGGATCTTCATGGTTCATATAGGGTGTTCATGAGGAAGTTGCATAAAACTGTGGATCAGGCTTCCTCCCAAGTAGGAACTTGGTTGATATTGTTGGCCTGGCCCTGAGGCAGCTCTCTCTGGCCCTATAATTGTATGGCTGCTTTCAGGGGAGGTTCAAGTTGTGGCTCTGTTTTTACTAACAGATGCTGTTTAAGGAAATTCTTGTTTGTAGGACTTTGATAATAAGCATTTTTTTAAAAAAATCAGAAACATTTCTTCTCTCTTTGTGAATTGATGGTATGTACTAGTCATTTACTTCTCCACCCAGGCTGAGATATTGTTTTCACTTCACGGCACCTTTGCCCATTGACTTGCCATTCTTTCAGCAGAGTATGCCATTCCCTCCTAAGTAGGTGGGCTGCCATAATCCTGCTTCCTAGTTTGTGTCAACCAAGTCTTTAGTACACTAGTAGGCAGGCGATCTTTGAATTTAGGTCTTGATTTTGGGGGCGACATGGCTTTCTACTTTGGGCTCTGGCAATTTCCCTCTCAATTTTTGAATCTTTTTCTCTATTTAGCTGGCTTGGCAAGGTCCCTTCTATATTTGCCTTAGTAATTCCTGTCCTTGTCCACCTTACCTTCGTGTGACCCACATTCCCCACTGGTCCTGAGAGAACTTCATGATATTTGGGCATTGGAAAGCCAGTGAGAGATGTGACAGGCTTAAACCTGATTGAGATCACTCCCCAGGATCAGTTGGAGACCACAAACTTGAAGCATAAATGTTTGGTTAAAAACTCACTTTCCCTTCTATCAATAAAGCTCCCAGCTTGGATGTGGCCTATCAAGGATCAGTTGCTAGGTCAGGAGATCTTAGTAATGTAGTGGAGAGTGTCATATTTCCTTCCATAGAGACCCTGCATGCTAAGAGGTTCCCATTAGGTCCTGAGCAGGAATGGGTGAGAAGTAGGGTGTTCTTTTTCGAAATGGTGTGAGGCCCTGGTCCATCATACCTTCCCTACAGTGGTTACCCCTGGCATTATCCTATCCCTGGATTTTCCTTGCAGTACCAACTTTCTGAGTCATAGTTTTGTCTTATTTTTTATTTTTATTTTTTGTACCAGGGATTGAACCCAGGGCGCTTAACCATGAAGCCTCATCCCCAGCAATTTTTAAAAATATGTTTTATTTATAGAGACAGGGTCTCACTAAGTTGCTTTAGGGCCTTGTTAAGTTGCTGAGGCTGGCTTTGAATTTGTGGTCCTCCTGCCTCAGTCTCCCGAGCTACTGGAATTACAGATGTGTGCCACTGCACCTGGCAGAACATGACTTTAAAAAAATTTTTTTTTTGTATATGGACTCAATGTCTTTATTTGTTTTTATGTGGTGCTAGGATCAAACCTAGTACCTCACAATTGTGAAGCAAGTGCTCTACCACTGACATACAACTCCAGCCCCAGAACATGACTTTTTATAAATTAAAAAAAAAAAATCCTACTCACCAAGAAACTGCCTTCAGAGGCTTTTTGCTAACATGCTGATCCTACATTGACTTATTCCCATAATGGCCCCATTTTGAATTCAGTCAAGCTCTTTGACCCTTGACAAAGCTGGGCATTGCAAATATAGTTAGTTCTGGGTTCTCATGGTACACCTTGGAATCCTAGAAGAGAAATTGGTTCTTGGCTTTGCCAAGAAGTGGAATAGTAGACTGGTTTTAGTTTATACAAAGGAGATTTTAGTGCAAAAATTGGTGCAAAATGAATTTGTAAAGCATTCTTCTGTAGAACATGGGTAGATTGACCCATTTTGAATTCTTTAAAAAAATTTTTTTTAGTTGTTGATAGACCTTTTTTTTATTCATTTATTTATATGTGGTGATGGGAATCGAACCCAGTGCCTCACACATGCAAGGCATGCATTCTACCACTGAGCCACAACCCTAGCCCCCCTTTCTGAATTCGAAATTGTTGCCTACACACCCTGCCTGCCTCAGGTACCCCCTTGTGGAGGGCAGCCACCAGACCCTTCTTAGGCTCTGTTCCATGTCAGCCCTGTCATCAATTAGATGGATTCTGGTTTCCTGTCTTTGCCTGGCTCCTAAGATCGAGGCTCCTTTTGGGCTTTGCTCTACTCCCTCTCTCACTCCATGAGTTTACCTATTGAACTCCTATATAAGCCTTTGCTCCTTCTAGATTATGCTTCCTCTTCTCTTACTCCCCTGATCTTGCTGCTGAAATTTCCTGCTCCTTTAGTTGATTTCATGACCTCAGCTTTCTCTCTTCTCCCAGACTTTTAGCCTTCTCTGGGATTTCTTCCTCTCTTCAGCCTGAATCCAGGGCTCATCATACGCTGATATTTTTATCAGCATCCTAAATTTTCTCATCCCCTCCAACTTTTGCTGGACCTATCAACCCTCCTCCATTTTCTGCATCAGGCTATTTTCTTCTCCTTTTTCCTGGCTGCTAAATGCGACACACTCATAATTGACAGGCCCAGTATTTATTGGAAATTCATTAACTTGTCATTACTCTTCTTTCCTATCCATGCCCTTTGTGTTAGCTCTCAGCAAAATGACTGACCTCAGTGTCTGCTTCACAGAAGTGAGATCAAAGCAAGAACTTCCTTGTCCACTTTTCTCTCTCCCTTCTATTGACCTCTGTTGGTACCTCTCCTCATTTCCTTCCCTCTTCCTCCTAGTTTTCTATTTAAAAAATCCTATTATATCCCTTCAAGGCTTTGCTCCCTCACTGCTGCTCCCACTTCCTGGGGTCTTCTGTCTCCCTCTCCTTTGGTTACCTCCAAGTACTCTGCAAGCAACCAAAGTTCTCACACGATTAATAAAAATGTTTAGGATTTGTTGTCCTTTGCACTCTTCCCTTATTAGCTAAGCTTGTTTAAAAAATACACACAGACATACACACACACATAATTTTTTTATTTGGTACTCCTATAAGCTCAGCAACTTGGAAAGATAATTTTGTTTAAAAATATATATATGATATATGTATGTGTATGTGTGTCTGTGTGTGTATATATATATATATTTATTTTACTCCTTTAATCCCAGCAATTCAAGATGATTCAAGTTTAAGGCCAGACTTAGAAACTTCATAAAACCCTGTCTCAAAATAAAAAAACAAAAGAGGCTGGGGATGTATCTCAGTGGTAAGTACCCCTGGGTTCAATCCCCAGTACAAAAAAAAAAAAAAAAAGCCAAGTCTTTTGTTGATCCTTTTGTTTCTCTTTAGCCCGCTACAGTTTTTCATAAATGTCCCAGTGACCATCTAGTTGCCAAATCAAATAAACACATTTTAGTCCTCAACTGCCTTGAACTCTCCACAGCATTTCACCCCATCCACCACTCCTCTGTGAAACACCCCCTTCACTTGGCTTTTATGATACCCCTAGTCTATAGATTATCCTTATTCTTCCCAACCACACAGGCTGAGTCTTCCTTGAAATCTAGGCAGGGAGATATATTTATGGCTGTCTGCAGTTTCTCCTCTTCAGGAGATAGTTAGGCAGGAAGAATCACAGCTGTCTGTTTTCTTTGAGTCTCTACCTTCTCCTGGACTCTGCTCTCATCATGCTAAGCATGCTTCTGAGCTCCTGCCAGGAGGGCAACATCTGTGAGTCTTTCCCTCTGTCTCTCCCATTACAGCTCGGAAATAGATTTTAGCTGTGTTTGCTAAGAGGCCCCTTCTCAATCAGCCTAAGAGTATGGATTGGATTTTGCAACATCCAAACTGGCTAAACTGTATCACCAGGCTGGTGGGCAGTTGATACCAAGGAGAAACTGCCACAGTCAATACCAAGATCAGTGAAATAGGTTTCCATGTGAGGTTCAGTTCTGTAACTAGGAGCAAAATTCTGGCAGGTGTGGGTGTCTGCTGCTGGTAACATTCTGATGGAGAGAAATGGGGAAGTACTGGAGTCCATCACTTGCCTGAGCTTAGCTGGAGTCAGTGTGATGCCCTCTAGCTATATCTTTCTTCCCTGTTGTTGACCATCACCACCTGTTGCTCCAGATATTCCTGGAGCTAGAAGCAGATTTTGATTGCTTTCTTAGAGGTAAGGAAGTGAAGCAGAAATCTGATCTGAGCATTGGAACATCTCAATTTTGGCTTTGCCAATTATAGACTGTGTGATCTTATCTATAAAGTTGGGGTGGAAGTGACTCAGAACAGTGATCTCAGTGACTATTCAGGCCACACAGGGACAGAGGGACTCTGGGGTTGGGACATAGCTAGGGGAGTCCTGACCAGGGCAGGGAAAAGGATTCACAGGCCAAATTGAGCTGCTTTGAGGAAAGTCCTCATTAGTTGGTGCTGCTTCTTGAGCCATATGCCCATTCCTTAAGCTGTACTCTTCTTGGGTATCTAGGATGAGTTCCTTCTAGGCCTTTGGTAGAAGTGGCCATTGGAGCCAGAATGGCTAGGGGCATGAGGGAGAAATATTGTAAGGGGAAGTGTAACATTTTAAAAGGACCTACACATTCAATAACAAATAAAAATAGCACTTTTCTTTACCAGCAATTGTGTCCCAGAGTGTTTTTCAGTAAAGCTTGTGGAACCTGCTGCATGGCCTTTTTGATCCTGACTCCCAACATCATTAAGAAACGGGGGGAAGCCTTTCTCTGAGGGAAGAATGAAGCTCTCTGCTTCTTATTGAATGAATACAGCCTGTTCCTCAAAATGCAGGCAACAAGTCTGGGGTGGAGTTAGGGAAATGACATCTTAGGAATGCGTACCATGCCCAGGTGCTGAATACTTCAAGAAGATCCTTTGTATGGTGATGTTTCGTATCCCTTGCTATCCTGTCTGCTCACTCTGCACTAGAGATTTCTAATGATTTTCAGAGAGTGGAGTGTCAATTTGTAATGAATATAAGGAATATTTGTTAGGACTACATGAAATCTGAACCCCTTTTCTATATTTAATGAATTCCCTACCTCAGGAGTCTTGGATGCATAGCTTACTCCTTACTACAGAAGTTAAATATACTAGATCCTTGATTTCCCAGTATGCCTTGAAGCCAGGGTACAGGTCTAGTGGTAGTGATTTAAAACAACTCAACACAAAGCACAGAGACTTCTCTCTGGTGGCAGTCATGGTTGTGGGGAGGTGGGGTTTCCATGTCAGCAGGTGCGGCAGCACAAGTTGAAGCACCTGGTGTCTGATGGCAGTGATATTTCTTTCAGCAGACCAATTCTGCACATGATTTCAAGAATTGTTCCTGGCTGCGTAGTAGCACTGATCTTAATCCTCCAGTCCTCCTAGTGATTCAATGAACTACCTTTTAATAAATTCACTATATAAGTTGGAATTGGTTTCTATTACTTACAATTAAACATGACAATGTTTAGTTGTCTTGAAGAACCTGATGAAAGTCATGGACTCACTCTTCTGCACTCCAGATCCACACATGGTACTATATAGTTCATTGGGTACCCCCACTTAGATGTCTCAGTGTCCCCCAATACACTAGCCATCTTCAGGTCCCCTTAACATATTCCTCTCATGCTCCCCATCTCAGCAGCCAGATGTGGTATCAGACAAGCCAAGGAAGTTTGTATTTAAAGGATGATCATCAGTTTTAAATCTTGAGATAAGACCCTCCCCACCTATTCCCAGGTTGGCCCCAGTACTCAACTTTCTGCTATGTTTTATCCTTATTAAATTTATTAGTACTAGTCATTCTCTGCATCCCCAGGACCCCAGAATCTGTCTACTCCTCAGTCCCCAGATTCCATAGCAAGCTGCTAGCTGAATCCATTCCCCAGAGAGTTCTACCTGCAGGTTGGTCTGCAGCATGATCCTTCATACCTGGCCTGTGGATTATCCTATCCACTAGGCAGTTTAGGCATAGAATCCAGGGAATGGGAGCTTTCAAGGGCCTACAAAAATAAGTACTGAAAAACATTACAATTAAAAATGGTAAAACAGCTGGGCACAGTGGTATACGCCTGCAATCCCAGTGGCTCAGGAATTTGAAGCAGGAGGATCTAGAGCAAAAGCCTCAGCAAAATTGAGGTGCTAAGCAACTGAGACCCTGTCTCTAAATAAAATACAAAGTAGTACTGCGGATGTGACTCAGTGGTCGAGTGGCCCTGAGTTCAATCCCTAATATCTGCCCCCCCCAAAAAAGGTAAAACATGCATAAAAATGTTAATTAAATATCTATAACTTGCAGCATTATTTTAAATCCATTCATTTTTAAGAAACCTTAGCCCAACATAAATTAAATGAACCACTCCTTACCAAATAATTTAAAAAGCAAAATTATAAACATTTCAAAAATTTGCAATAAGAACTACACTCACTACAGGCTGTGGATGCATTCTCATCTTTGATGTGTGTTGTAGGGCCTCCTAGAGGAAGAAGGCCTAGTCTCTGGGAAGAACCTCCTTATGGGCCCTGGAGCTATGCAGTAGGGAGGACTCTATCCTACAGACATGACTCCTGATGGCCTTGCACCGAAAAAAGAGCTTGTAAAAAAAAGGCCTTGTGGTAAAAAAGAGCTTGTAACCAGTCCCTGGAGACAGTTTTCCTGTTGTAGCAGAGACTGCTAATTGTTGCCAGTGTCTATTATTTTCTTTATTTTAGCAATAACCCCTACCCTCACCTTTCCCAGCCTCCTCTACAACTAGATATTGTCTTTTGCATAAGTTCTAGCTAATTGATTGTGAGAAGCAGTGATGTATTTTATTGTAGGACATTTTATGTGAAATGGATTATCTTCCAGGTCCTTTTCCTCTGCCCATTCCTCTAGACAGGAAGTTGGTTATGCTACTGGTCACATAACTTCAATCATGATGAACCTGAGATTGCTGCATTAAGTCACAACCCTGAAGGCAAATAATCATCTCAGAATTGATGTTCTTGGTAGAGATGAATGCAAGTCCTTTCAGGCAGAAAGTATTACAACTCTTAGGTTTCACACATACTAATTTCAATAAAATATGAATTCTCAACAAAAATGACACATACAAATAAACCAATATAAGTGAGAGTCATAAGGAATAACAAACTGCATGTGAGAGTCTTGATAAGGAACGGAAAATATAAAGAGAGGTTAAGAGATATGGAGGGTGAACAGATTACCTTTTAACATTGATTTAGACAGAATGGCAAATCAAGGAGAGAAACATTTGAAGAGGTAATGGTTGAGAATTATCTATAAGTGATGAATGATATGAGTTTATAGATATAAGATAAAGAAAAAAATACTAACTTAGGTAAAAATAAAAAAGAAAAAGAAACAGGCATAGTGTATTGAAACTGCAGAACACCAAAGATGAAGAGAAGATCCTACAAGTAGAAGAGGGGCATATAGTAACTCTTCCTTCCAATATTTCTAGTGCTCTTCCCCTTCTAAGAGAATGGATAGATTGCTCTACCTCATCCCCTTTATTTTAGGAATGTTATGAAACTTAATTTGATCACTGAAATGCAAGTAGAAGTGTAATGTAGGTCATGTCTAGGTTGGAAAATTTAAGAGCCAGTATTTTTTTTAATAAACAGAATGCCTTTATTTTATTTGTGTATTTTTATATGGTGCTAAGGATCAAACCCAGTGCCTCACACATGCTAGGCAGGCACTCTGCCACTGAGCTACAGCCCTAGCCATAAGAACCAGTGTTTTGTTCTCTGATTTTTCATTTTATTTCTCCCTGTTGAGGTGATTCTGAGAGCATGTATTGATACAAAGGTGCCTAAGGCTTAAGAAATCCTTGTGTACTGTGCTGATAAATGGGAAATATTATTTGGAATATTGACGTATCTGTAGCAGATTTTGAATTAGTGAGAACTTGGGTTGAGTTAATCTAATAAGGAGTGTGGATTATTAATTACTATAGCATCAACTAGCCCATAGTATAAAAGAAAGAAAGAAAGAAAGAAGAAAACCCTACCACCAACATCAACAAAAAACTTTGGTTTACTTTGGGAAAAAAGCAAACAACAAAATCTAATATCCAAGGTATTGGCTTAGGTGTGTTTGTAGTAAAAAGATTGGTATTGGTGACTAGAAAGATAGTGGTTCATGTTATGCAGTAGAAAAATATTTGGTGAAACTATGTTCTGTGATAACTTGGGAAGTGGATCATAAACAATGAATTTCAATGCTGGGGAAGAAGAAGAAAGAAAACAGAACACTAATAACATATTTTGGTTGATATTTATTAAGGTATTTCAAGACATTAGTTCAGAAACAATTGCCCTGCTTTTAAGCAGGAGTGAAAGAAAACAGAATAACCCAAAATTAAAGGATTTAGGGATTTTTTTTCTTTTGTGTACCAGGGATTGAACTCAGGGCCACTCTACCACTGAGCCACATCCCCAGCCCTATTTTGTATTTTATTAGAGATAGGGTCTCACTGAGTTGTTTAACACCTTGCTAAATTGCTGAGGCTGGCTTTGAATGCAATCTTTCTGCCTCAGCCTCCCGAGCTGCTGGGATTACAGGCATGCACCACCACACCCAGCACTTAGGATTTTGAAGAGGTAACGGTTTTTGACTCAGAGAAGACACAAGAGAGAAAACTGAGAAAGCCTTTGAATATTGAGGGTCCTATAAAATTCAGCCTTGAGACTAGGATTGAATTAAAAGTATGGGCATAATATTCATTGTTTACCTTGAATGGATTAAAGTACTTCAGGGAAAATGTAAAATTCAGAATATAGTGTTGGGCTGGAGTTGTGGCTCAGTGGTAGAGCACTTGGGTTTGATCCTCAACACCACATAAAAACGAATAAATAAATAAATAAATAAATAAATATATTGTGTCCCTCTATAACTAAAAAATGTTTAGGAAAAAAAGTATAGTGCCTAGTAAAACCTTTTAGCTGGATAAGATTTAGGGAAAGGATTCTAAGGAGGTGGTCTTCCCATCAAAGCTGATAGGAAAGGAGAAAGAGGAAAGAGGCATGGTCATGAGAACTAGTTTTCCAAAATGAATGTGGTATAGCTTTTGGCAAATATTGCTGCCTGCATTCAAAGAGAAACACAGTGAGTTTTTCAAAGAGTATTTTGTTTCCAGAGGAACTATGAGCCTAGACTAACAGGAACAGTAACAGTTTAAGACTTCAATGGCTTGGGTACTTCCAATCATCTTTGATAGATTGGGTTGAGGGAGAAGCTCATTCCCCAAAGAGACTTGTTCCTCAATCTCCATATTAGCTGGGATGCTAAACCAAGAGCTAAGGAGAGCTACTCACAGGGTCCAGAATCAGAGAATAATGAATAATTCCTATTCCAGATCAGGAAGCCCTCAAAATATTTTCCCAGTGGGATTTCAGAATTGCCATGCCTGTCTACTCCTATGTCTCCCATTTTTCTCATTCCACTTTTTTTTTTTTTTTTTTGGTACTGGGGATTGAACCCAGAGGTACTTTTTACTACTGAGATACATCCCCAGTCTTTTTTTTTTAATTTTTAATTTGAGGCAAGGTTACTAAGTTACTGAAGTTGGCCTCAAACTTCTAATACTCCTGTGTTACCCTCCTGAGTTACTGGGATTACAGGCATGTGCCAA